ACCTGAGATCGAATGACATACCTAGGCATGAAAATGTATACAAATATACCTCGCGGTGAGGCATGGAACTAATGCTCTTTTGGGTGCCTATTACCGCCCTCGATGTCGGGATGGTTGTCAGGTATGAAATCCCAACCGAGAAAACCATTTAATTAGAAGATAAACTCGGCTGGAACACCGCTTTTCTGGGAATAGAAATTTGTTGTGCCACTTTCGGCTAGTCCTTTTTGCAGAAGTGATTCAGTGCCTCCGCAATGCTGTATGAGGGCCAGGACATAGCAACTTTCTGTATGCCGGGGGGGGGGGGGGGGGGATCATCGTCCGCAACATTGGTAGAGTTACGGTTACATTGTATATGTAGATACATACGTGATTTTTGGACTCGCCTCCAGGGATTTGTCGTAAGCTGGGGCACGCGTACGTGAAACGTGGCAAGAAAGGCCCAGTTCGTACAAGGGAGTAGTAAAATACCGGTATTTTTCTGTTCCTATGTTCCCACGACGAGTCCTCTGTGCACTGAGTGCAGGTCTCTTGCCGCTCCCTGGTCCCCAGTTCACCTGACCGTGACGTTTATCGAATAAGGTCTATATGCGGGCATGCATAAATCAACCCTTCCACAAGGATGGCTCAAACAGGCAGCCAAGGAGTGAAAATTTCGCTCCTGGGGCTAGGGGTGAAACGAAGGCCTCAATTTGCCAAATGAACCTTCTCCATTGAAACGAACGAAGGTGTCGAATAATTCTTTTACCAGTTCACAGTTCCTGTTCACACGCACTCCGGGGGGGGGGGGGGCTACTATGCACTTGTAGTGACACTTACCGTAAGCCAAGTTGCACCTATGGAAGCCAAGTGGACCACGACTAGTTGACTGTACAGACTACAGTACAGTATACATGCACATGTATACAGTGAAGATCAGTGCATGGATGCCTGCCGTAATCGTATGTTGACCTTCGTTCGAATTGAAAAGAGAGGGTCGTTTCGAAAAAGAAAAAAAGCTCAATGGAAGTATGATGCTGCTGACAATTCAAGACTCACTGAAGTCGCCTTTCTGGAATGGATCATGCGCTCTAGGTTCATCCAATTGGAAATGGACTCAATCGTTGTTACACCATTCTTGTTTGGTTAGTTATTCTACATCCCATAGCATGTACAATCCAACTTGTGAATAATGTACCTCGGGTTTACAAAACAACTCGCAAATAACAATCTTCAGATCTAGTGACCATTTGATTGCATACTTCCAACCTCACGAGTAACAACAATACACCAATGGCGACACTTTTTTCATTCACAATCGAGGGTCAGTATTCCCCAGGTTGACTGCAATTGCCAATCAAACAGGAGGGGCGAAAGTCGACCACGGCTGAAAAGGCGTAAAGAAAATGTATGTCATGAGCTAGATGGCAGAAGGAGGAAGTAGGTTTTCTGAGAAAGCAAGAAACAGAGGTGAATGAAGCACCAGGTCTGTCCATGCAGTGGATAGTTGGATTGAAAGACAGGCTCTTTACGTCAGCTTGCTACTATTATACCTACATTTATTATTATTACGAAGTAGTGGTTGCGACTTCGGCGATGATTTGTCAGAAAGGTTTGCTCCCCACACCGGAGCTCGCGCTATTCCGCCGACTTTACTTGACACTTGACTGACTCACGACTGCCATCCAGAGCACACGAGAAGTCGATCGAACCTTCGACTCGGCAAACCTGTAAGAAAGCACCACTCCCTGCTCAATACACAGTGTTTCGGGGAATTCACCCCTCATCAGTTGAGCTTGAGTAGGCTGAGGAAGATTGTGCCTGAAGAGCACCACTTATATAGTGCTGTCCAGGCACAAACATCACCAGGGATACAAACTTACAGAGACGCTCCGCTTCCAGCGCGACAAACACCTCGTGACACTGACTCACGCTGCTATCTGGTGTTCACGAGGTGTTTGTCGCGCTGGAAGCGGAGCGTCTCTGTAAGTTTGTATCCCTGGTGATGTTTGTGCCTGGACAGCACTATATAAGTGGTGCTCTTCAGGCACAATCTTCCTCAGCCTACTCAAGCTCAACTGATGAGGGGTGAATTCCCCGAAACACTGTGTATTGAGCAGGGAGTGGTGCTTTCTTACAGGTTTGCCGAGTCGAAGGTTCGATCGACTTCTCGTGTGCTCTGGATGGCAGTCGTGAGTCAGTCAAGTGTCAAGTAAAGTCGGCGGAATAGCGCGAGCTCCGGTGTGGGGAGCAAACCTTTTTATTATTATTATTATGAGTCTTTATTCCACTCCAAATTGAAAATAAAAATAAAAATTGGAGGTATTACACTAACTCACCGGACTTATCATAGCCAAAGGTAAGCAGCACGGAATAATATATGGAAAAAATAAGGTAGAGAGAGAGGAAGGGAGAAAGGCGCATGTACCATCACAGGCATTAAAGCTCAGAGGTATCATGGCAACAGGTATTGGTACCATCACAGGCATTAAAGCCCAGAGGTATCATGGCAACAGGTATTGCAGAAAGGGGAGCATCAGAAGTTGGCGAAAAATTCAGGCCGGCAAAGCTCATCACTGGGCACAACCTCCAATGCGCACCCACAGAAAGATCAAATACGAATACCCACAGAAATACCACAGTGTTTCAATTACAAACTAAAACGAATACAATAACATACAGAGCATAAAAAGCCCACCAGGGACAGCGAAGAGCCCTATGCTGCACCCAAAACAGATCTTAGAATGGCCATCGAGCCAAGGATAGCAGCCTGCTGCAGTTCATGAAGGTGCCGCTCTTCTCCACATAGCTGCTTAATTGAGGTAGCCGCTTCCTTCGTCAGGCCACCAAGAGCACCAACTATGATGGGCACTACGGACACTGCCTCTCGCTGCCAAATCTGCCCAATTTCCACTGCGAGGGGCAAGTACTTCGCTCTCTTTTCAGCATGTTTTAGTGTTACTCTATGGTCCAGTGGCACACTGACATCAATAAGTTGAACTGACTTGCCATCGTCCCACACAAGATCCGGCCGATTTGCTCCAACCATCCTATCTGTAGGGATTGGCATTTCCCACATTAACTTACGGCCTTCACTATCCTCGACGTAGTGTGGCAAGTGGCCAGGGGGAGCAGGAGATACCAGTCTGTAGCGATGACAGAGTGCCCGGTGGACTATAGCGGCAAGACGATTATGGCGAGTAATGTATGCCGTCCGTGCCAACACGGGGCAGCATGCCAAAATATGGTCAACAGTCTCCCCCGGACCTCCACACAAACGGCACACGTCCACCACGGAAGTGTCGCCAATAACCGATCTTTGGTAGTTCCTGGTATTAACCACCTGATCCTGAGCAGCAAATACGGATGACTCAGTGGATGGACGCAATGTTGGAGACTTTAAGAAGCTGAATGAGAG